GGAGACAGAGGGAGAGGGAGAAGCAGGCTCCCTGCTGAGCCAGGAGCCTGACATGGGGCTCGATCCCAGGACCCTGGAATCATGACCTGAGCCGAAAGCAGACGCTTAACCATCTGAGCCACCCAGGTGCCCCTCTTTTTGTATTCTTGTTCATACTTTAAATATTGGCATTCCTCACAGATCTAACGTCTGTACTTGTTTCTTCTCATTCGATGGATTCTTCCTGAGCATAGTGATTTATATCACAGACTTTGGAGTCACACATATTAGGGTTTAAATCCCAGTTGTATTACTAGCTGTGTAACCTTGAAGTCACTCCATATTTCTTTGCCCATGTTTCCCTTTTAAAAAGTGATATTAATGGGGCACCCGGGTGGCTCAGTCAGTTAAGCATCTGACTCTTGATTTCAGCTCAGGTCATGATCTCGGTGGTGGGATCGAGCCCCCTGTCAGGCTCCACAGAATCCCTGTTTGGGATTATCTCTCTCTCTCTGTCCCTTCCCACTCTGCTCACATGCTCGCTTGCTTACTCTCTCTCTCTCAAAATAAATAAATAAGTGATACTAAAAATAAATTTTTTCCACTTTGAAGGTTTAAATGAAGTCATTTATTTAAAGCATTTAGTACAATGGTTTTCTTAACAGCAAGCAGACAATAAGTATAGAAATAAAGAAGTATAGCTACATATGTAGATGCATATAACTAATCACTCCTATGGCTCTTGTGCATATGCTGATAATGTTTAAATCTTTTTCCAGGTTAGCTCTGTCTCCAGAATCTAGACCTATGTTTATCCTACTGGCCACAAACACCGCAACCCATTATTGGGTACCTAAAATTGAATTCATTCTTTTCTATTTTCCTATACCCATTCTGTCTCCAACATTCTCTATTGTTTTGTTTTTGGTTTTTTTTTAAGATTTTATTTATTTATTTGACAGAGACAGCGAGAGAGGGAACACAGCAGGGAGAGTAGGAGAGGGAGAAGCAGGCTTCCCCCTGAGTAGGGAGCCCAGTGCGGGGCTCGATCCCAGGACCCCAGGATCAGGACCTGAGCCAAAGGCAGACGCTTAAAGACTGAGCCACCCAGGCGCTCCCAACATTCCCTATTGTTAAATGGTACATCTACCCATAGACTACATCAGAAATCTACACATCACCCTTGATTTTTCTTCCTTACCATTTGCTGTTCAGTTAACTACAAAGTATTTTTGGATTCTATCTCCCATGGTTTAAAATAGTCCGTTTCAGGGGCGCCTGGGTGGCTCAGTCGATAAGCGTCTGCCTTCGGCTCAGGTCGTGATCCCAGGGTCCTGGGATCGAGCCCTGAGCAGGAAGCCTGCTTCTCCCTCTCCCACTCCCCCTGCTTTTGTTCCCTCTCTTGCTGTGTATCTCTCTGTCAAATAAATAAATAAAATCTTTAAAATAAAATGGTCCGTTTCTTTTTTTTTTTTTTGAAGATTTATTTATCTTAGAGCAAGTGTGAGTGAGAGTGGGGGGAGGGGCAGAGGGAGAGACTCCTCAGGCAGGCTCCCCATGACCCATGAGATCATGGCCTGGGCCGAAACTAAGAATCAGACACGTAACTGAGCCACCCTGGCACCCTCAAAATGGTCTATTTCTTTCTTACTACTGTTTCAGAAGCTTGAAATCTAGGAGTCATGTATAATGTTTCTTTCCTTTATATTTCATTTCTCCTCCCTTCACCAGCTCCTCCCAATTTCATCTACCAATAGTTCTTGAATTTATTTATGGCCTAGTCCCTACTTACCTTTCCAGCTTCATTTTATCATACTTTCTCCTCATTCTGCATGCTCTCCATACTTGCCATGTTTCCTCTCACCACAGGGCTCTTGAACTTGTAATCTTTCTTGCCTAGCAACTCCTACTCATCTTTCAGATAAAAATTCAGAGCACCACTTACAGGGAATTCTTCCTTGCCCCAAAATAGGTCAGATTGTCCTCTTGTAAATGTTCTTTGCCATGGGGTGCCTGGGTGGCTCAGTCAATTGAGCATCTGACTCTTGATTTCAGCTCAGGTCATCATCTCAGGGTTGTGAGATCAAGCCCCATGTCAGGCTCCATGTGGAGCCTGCTTGGGATTCTCTCTCTCTCCCTCTGCCTCCCCACTTCTCCCTCTCTAAAAATAAATCAATAAATGCTCTTTGCCTCTTAGACTGGTGCAATATCAGTTACACTTGTTGGCTAAATTTATTTGCATGCCTCATTATTTGATTAGTTTCCATCTCCCCTACCAAAGTATAGACTGTGAGGATGGAGGCGATCTTATTTTTGTTTGCTATTTTATCCTTAGATCATGTTGTAGATCACTAAATATTTATTGGATGAATAGATGGGCATTGCCACTACCTTGGTGAGGCCACTGACCTCTTTTGGATTTCTACAAGAGCCTGCTACCAGGGTCTCCCTGACTTTTGCCTTTCCCTTTTCTAATACATTCTACACATTATAACCAGAGTGTTCCTTCTACAATGCAAGTATGTTCATGATAATCTCCTGCTTCCAGTCACTCAGTTCATGTTGTCCTCAGGATTAAATTCATATTCCTTTCCAGCTTCATCTCTCATCACTTTCCCCTTTCACACTATGGTTCAGTAATATTCATATATTTGTAGTTCCCAGACACACTGTTTATGTATGAAATTTTTTTCTGCCCAGAACTCCCTAGCCTCCTGCTCTTCCTTTTACCTACTAGTTCTTATTATATGTCAGGTCTTACCTTCAGTGCTGACTTCCCCTTAAACAAAATTAAGTTAGGTTTCCCCCTTAAGTATTCCAGTAGCACCCTGCACCTGGTTAAAGTACATATCATACTATACTGAAAATGCCTGTCAACTTGTCTGTCCCGGGGTTGTTTCTTTATGATTGTTCCAGAATCTGGTGCATAGCAAGTACTCGGTGAATTCACTCATGAATGCATTAGGCTTAGTTACTAAGGTTAGGGTTAAATCATTGTTACGAACCTTTTAAAACATTAAAAAAATTTTTTTAGGGTTAGGGTTAAATCATTGTTATGAACCTTTTAAAACATTAAAAAAATTTTTTTAGAGATTTTATTTATTTTAGAGAGAGCGAGCAGGGGGAAGAGGCAGAGTGAGAGGGAGAGAGTGTCAAGCAGACTCTGCACCAAGCACAGAGCCTGACATGGGGCTCAATCCCAGGACCCTGAGATCACGACCTGAGTCGAAACCAAGAGTTAGGTCCTCAACCAACTGCGCCACATAGGCACCCCTGAACTTTTAAATTTTAATAGCTAGAATGCTAGGACATTAGTTTGTAATAGAAAAATTATTTGCAGTACAAATAGAATATATCAATTGTATAAAAATAGGTTCAACCTCACTAAATATTACAGAAATGTAAATTAAAACAACATTGGGAAATCATTTTTGCCTATTAGATTCACAAAGATTATAATGATTCATAATATACATGGATGTAGGGTATGGATGAACTAAAGACTCGTAAATGTTGAAGAGTAAATAGGCACAACCCTTTTTTTCCTTAAGTTTATGTATGTATTTAAGTAATCTCTACACTCAATGTGGGGCTCAAACTCACAACCCCCAGATTGAGAGTTGCATGTTCTTCCCACTGAGCCAGCCAGGTGCCCCCCACCCCCAGAACCTCATTTTACAACACGGTTTTGCAATAGCTATTAAAATGTTAAATGTTCATAATTTTGACCTAGAAATTCACCTTCTAGATATGTGTCCTCCTGAAATACACATATACGGGGACGGGGTGGGCGGGCAGAGATACAAGTACAACATTGTTCATACAATGTAGTATTGTTTCTAAAGGTGAAGAAAACTTTGGATATGATCCAAATGGTCATCAATAGGATAGTGCTGAAATAAATGGTACTATATCATATGATGAAATCATATACAGTTTTTAAAAAATGAAGTAGAGTTCTAGATGTGGAAAAATAGCTAAGATAATTTGTAAAGCAGGTTTCAAAACTGATTATGTAGTATGATCCCATTTTATAAGTAAATGCATAAATTATAGTGTATGCTGTTACATGTGGGTTGTGTATGTGTGTGTATGTTGGGTTTTTTAAAGATTTATTTATTTATTTATTTGGAAGAGAGAGAGCATGAGCAGGGGAAGGGGCAGAGGGAGAAAGACGCAAACTCCCTGTTAAGCAGGGAGCCCGACGTGGGCCTCGATCCCAGGACTCTGGGATTGTGACCTGAGCCAAAGGCAGAGGTGCTTAACCCACTGTGCCACCCTGGAGCCCCTATGTGTGTTTTAAAAAAATATATCTGGAGGAATATTCACCAAACTGTTAATGAATTATTAGGAGGCTGATATTGAGGGAAGCTTTTACATTTTGTGTTAAATTTTTTTTTTTTTTGTAAGATTTTATTTATTTGACAGAGCACGCACGCACAGCAGGGGGAGTGGCAGAGGGAGAGGGAGAGGGAGAAGCAGAGTCCCTGCTGAGCAGAGAGCCTGACACGGCTCGATCCCAGGACCCTGAGATCATGACCTGAGCCGAAGGCAGGTGCTTAACTGACTGAGCCACCCCGGCACCCTGTGTTAAATATTTTCTGTAACATTTGGTCTTTTTGAATGATAAGCATGCATTACTATAATTATCAGAAACTAAGAATATTGGGGCACCTGGCTGGCTTAGTCAGTGAACCGTCTGATTCTTGATCTTCAGGTAATGAGTTTGAGTCCCATGTTGGGTGTAGAGATTACTTCGTTAAGCGTCTGCCTTTGGCTCAGGTCATGATCCCAGGGTCCTGGGATCAAGCCCCACATCGGGCTCCCTGCTTGGTGGGAGGTCTGCTTCTCCCTCTCCCGCTCCCTCTGCTTGTGTTTGCTCTCTCACTGTGTCTCTCTCTGTCAAATAAATAAATAAAATCTTTAAAAAACAACAACAAAGAGCACAGACTACATGGTGTTAGGGTGCTATTAATTACAAGTGTGAGTTGTACACTTACTTTTTCCCTTTTTTCAAATAGAATGCCCAATGTTTACATGGGGACATTGCACAGTCACAAAGAGAAATTACACTGAAAGGCTTCAGAGAAGGTAGTTTTAAAGTTTTGGTGGCAACCAATGTGGCTGCCCGTGGTTTGGACATTCCTGAGGTTGATCTGGTGATTCAAAGTTCTCCTCCCCAGGTAAGAAATGAAATTTTATTTAGGGAATATAAGAACAGCTGTGTAAATTGCTATTTTATTTATAAGATATTGCTTGGGATATGAAAAATATGTTATCTGTTCTTGCTGTTAGCCATTTTTTACTAATGTAGTGTTAAATTGGTCAGAATCTGATGCCTTAGCAAATGATTAACTTCTTTATTTGGATTTGAAGCATGGAATCATGCAAAGGGATTATAAAAAGTTGTCATATGAAGAGCCCTGGGATGAGGTGGATAAAAAGATTTTAAATCCTATTCCTTTTAATCCAAAAATTCAGCATAAAATTTCTTCGGGATATTGAAAGAGCAATAGGTTTGAAATAAAAATGTTATCATTGGTAGTAGTAGTTTTGTTATTGTTAGCGTTATTATTTGGTTGTTGGAATGACTGTCACTTGCCAGATTTTTTTTTTTTTTTTGCCAGATTTAAAAAAATGTATTGCCTCTTTTTATTTTCAGGATGTTGAGTCCTATATTCATCGTTCTGGACGAACAGGTAGAGCTGGCCGGACAGGGATTTGCATATGTTTTTATCAACCCAGAGAAAGAGGTCAACTAAGATATGTGGAACAAAAAGCAGTAAGTAGAATTAAATTATTTCAGTCTTATTATCTAAATGATGTCTTAGAAAAGAGTTCTTTTTATATTTGTTCTCACAAATAGATGCTTACAACTTTTCTCAGTTTAAGCTGCATTTGGATGTGAAGCATGTGGAGAGCTAAATTTATAGGAGCTGCAAGACTTTGTTTTGATACAGCTTTTATTGTGAAGACAGAAGAGCTGACTTTCTCATTTTTCCCTTGAGTTTCTCCCTTGATTCTAAAATCAGAAGTGCATTGTGATTTCAGTATCTCATAGTCTAGCATTATAAAGGGGTGACTGCCATAGTCTTGGTGTATTTGTTAAGATTATATTGAGTAATGATGGTACATGGCCAGTTTCTATAAGAAATTATATACATTTTTTTGGCTTGTTTTGTGTGTGTGTGTGTGGTATTTTACATTTTTTCCTATTTTCATGATGTTTTTTTTTTTTTTTTTTTTTAAGATTTTATTTATTTATTTGAGAGAGAGAATGAGACAGAGAGAGCATGAGAGGGGGGGAGGATCAGAGGGAGAAGCAGACTCCCTGCTGAGTAGGGAGTCCGATGCGGGACTCGATCCCGGGACTCCAGGATCATGACCTGAGTCGAAGGCAGTCGCTTAACCAACTGAGCCACCCAGGCGCCCCATGATGTGTGTTTTTAAACACTATTTCATCTACTTTGTAAAATGAGATAGGGTAATAAGAAAAAAAAGTTGATAGAGGTGATGAGCATCTTTTTTCCTTTTTTGGAATCAGCTTTATTTTGCAAGTGAAATTTCATGATTGTAACTAAGGGCAATTAAATTTTTTTTCTTCTTCCTAGAATTTGTAATTGATGATTTATTAGAAAAAGCAGGTCTTTTGATCTACTGGGGCTTGGAAATCTTTAAGTCCAAGAAATGGAAATTCAACAAACTATATGAATTTAGGAATTAATTGTAAAGACTTCCATTTTTCTTTAATGTAATTCTTTCATTTTCAGGGAATTACTTTTAAACGTGTAGGTGTTCCTTCTACAATGGATTTAGTTAAATCTAAAAGCATGGATGCCATCAGGTATGCTTTCTGAACTTGCTGAATAAGTTTTTCTTTTGTATTAGGCTATTCATCTTTAAGCTCTCCTAGTTCAAATATCAGAAAACTTAATCACCAGTTTTACCAGCAGACTTTTAGTTATGTTAAAATACGAAAACGTTGCTCTTTCTTTTCCCATTCATTCTCTTATCTTTAATCTTTTACCTTTGTCTTGACCAAGAAAATTTACTATTTTTAAACCATAGGTCTCTGGCTTCCGTTTCTTATGCTGCTGTTGATTTTTTCCGACCATCAGCTCAGAGATTGATAGAAGAGAAAGGGGCAGTGGATGCATTGGCTGCAGCATTAGCCCACATCTCTGGTGCATCAAGTTTTGAACCACGATCTTTGATCACCTCTGATAAGGTAGAAATCTGTGAGAAAATCATGTATGATTGAGAAAAGATTAAAATTGAACCATAGATAATCCATCTGAGAGAAAGACAGGAGACTTTCACTTTGCACAGTACTGTATTAACTAAAACTTACACACCAGACCCTATTCTTTATTTTGTAAGTTGCCATGGAACCATGCAAATCAAAGCATAGATTCTGTGCATTTAACACAGTGCCATGCAAAGTTAGGATTACCTGTATATGTTGAGCGGCTATGTGTGTGCGGGTGGGGTATGTGTGTAGTTTGACACCACCTTACCTGGCCCCCCTGCTGGGTTAGTATCAGATGTCAAAACAAACCACACCAGACCCATTGGTTGCAAGTAGTTCAAAGATTTACTACTCATCAAGGTATAAGTGAGGAGAATCTCTGGATAACAGGACCTCTCAGCAAGAAAGCTCTCTGATGTCTGGGTGGGGACAGAGAGATTGAGAGAAAGAGGGAGAGTTGGTGGAAGAGGAGAACAAAAAGGTCAGGGCAGGTAAACTTGCATGTGACAATTTGGTATAGTATATGGGAGTACATCTGGGGTGTCTAATGTTTTCTCTCTGGCAAGTATTGATGGTTTAGTCAAATGTAATTTTGCTGGGGGTGACTTCATGTGTCCCAGCTCTCCCCCCACCCCCTGCCACTATGTATCTTTTTTTTTTTTCTTTTTTTTTGAGAGAAAGAGCTTGAGCAGCGGGGGAGAGGGAGAATCCCAAGCAGGCTCCACACCCAGAGCAGAGCCTGATGCAGGGCTCCATCCCACGACCCTAAGACCAGAGCCTGAGCCGAAACCAAGAGTCAGATGCCTTAACTCACTGAGCCACCGAGATGCCCCCCCCAACAGCGTATCTTTATTTTTTATTTATTTTATTTTATTTATATTTTTTTAAAGATTTTATTTATGTGAGAGAGAGAGCATGAACTGGGGGAGAGGGAGAAGCAGACTCCCCACTGAGCAGGGAGCCTGACACGGGGCTCAATCCCGGGACCCTGAGATCACAACCTGAGCCAAAGGCAGACACTTAACAGACTGAGCCACCCAGGCGCCCCTCACACTGTGTATCTTTATTTATTTTATTATTATTATTTTTTAAGATTTTTATTTATTTAAGAGAGAGAATCAGAGAGAGCGAGCACAAGAGGGGGGAGCGGGAGAGGGAGAAGCAGACTCCCCACTGAGCAGGGAGCCTGATGCGGGACTCGATCCCGGGACTCCAGGATCAACGACCTGAGCCGAAGGCAGTCGCTTAACCAACTGAGCCACCCAGGCGCCCACACTGTGTATCTTTAAAAAACATCTGGATCCTCAGATTTGTGAGATTGAGCTCCATGTTGGACTATGCACTCAGCATGGAGTCTGCCTGTCTCTCTCCATCTGGCCCCCTGCCGCCGTCCCCATGCACGCACTTGTGCATGTGCATGTGCTCTCTTTCTCTCTTTCAAATAAATAAAATCTAAAAAAAAAAAAAAAAAATTCAGGATCCAATTCAAGTTCATATGTTATATTTGGTGTTATGCTTCTCTTAATCTGGAACTGTTTTCCCATCATTTTTTATTAATTTGATTAATTTTTTGAAGAGTGTAGATTAGTTGTGTAGATCAGAGTCTAGAATTTCTTACCTGGATTTTTCTGGTTTTCTTTTCATACATCATTTAACTTTTGCCTTTATTCAGCCTTTCCTATAAACTGGAAGTAAAATCAAAGCTTGATTTTACATTCAGTTTAAACTGTTTGGGCCAAAGTACCCTTATGGGTGATATTATGTACTTTATACCATATCACAGTAGGAGGCATATAATGTCAGATTGTTCTAGTACTAATAATGCTTAGTTTGATCACTTGTTTACAATGGAAACTGCCCTATAGTCCCATTGTAAAGGTATCTTTTACTCTTTGTAATTAGTGATTTGTGGGGTAATGCTTTAGCAGTGAGCAAGTACCCTTTCTCTAGTAACCCACCAAGTACTTTTTTTTTTTTTTAAGATTTTATGTATTTATTTGAGAGAGAGTGAGCAAGAGAGAAAGCACAAGCCACAGGGAGAGGCAGAGGGAAAAGCAGATGCCCCGCCGAGCAGGGAGCCTTACGCGGGGCTCGATCCCAGGACCCTGAGATCATGACCTGAGCCAAGGGCAGATGCTTAACCGACTGAGCCACCCAGGTGCCCCATCAAGTACTTCTAAAGAAAATACTTAAGCCATATCTTTTAGGAAAATATTAAGATAGCCTTTAGAGCTAAGAAGTACCTAAGAGATCATTTATTCCCAACCCTTATCTAATAAAAGAATCCCTCTTTGGCAGATGGGTTATCTTAACTTCTGATTAAATATCTTAGAAACTGTATTAGTGGTACTTCTTTGACATCATCTCTTATCACTCTGTCCTTGCTTGTTTCGGCTACCCTAACCTACCTGTTACTCGAACATAAACCTACTCCTGCACAAGACCTTTGCACTTGCACTGTTTCAGATGTTCCTTCTTTTTACCGCATGGCTTCCTCCTTCACTTTATTTAGGTCTCTCTTCAAATATCACCACATCAGAGAGGTCTTTCCTGATCACCCTGTCTAAAATAGCTTACCTTCCCCTTTACTCTCTATTCCCTTGCCCTGCTGTATTTTTCTTTATGATGCTTATTACTATCTGGCATTTGACGTATTTGCTTATTTGTTTACTGTCTACCCCACCTCATCCCCACCATCCCCACCCCCAACACTAGAATGTAACCTGCATGAGACAAAGGACTATTTACTGCTGAATCTCTAGCACTTACTATAGTCTCTGGCACATATATAGGGGACACTCAGATATTTGTTAGATGAGGGGCTCCTGGCTGGCTCAGTCAATAAAGCATGCCACTCTTGATCTTGCGGTTGTGAGTTCAAGCCCCATGTTGGGTGTAGAGCTGACTTAAAAAAAGACAAAATTATTAGATGAATCCCTTCCTGTATCTTCTTCATGTTGATCCTTTTGCTGTCTAGTGAAGTTTTACGGAACAAGTAATTTTTGGATATGTAATAGTCCTTCAAAAGTTTAAAGAGATCTATGTCTTCTTGTTTTTCCACTCCAAGCTAACTTTGACTCTTTCAGCATTTCCTCAGTTCTTCACTACTTTATCTTTTCTCTGGTGCTCTAGTTTAATTATCTCTTAAAGCATGTTGGTTAGAATTAAATATATAGTCTTTACAGAAATACAAAGAAGAATGATCTGTAAACATTAGTCTTCTATTAATATAGTTTTAAAGAAGTTATATTTGGGATGCCTGTGTGGCTCAGTCGGTTAAGCATCTGCCTTTGGCTCAGGTCATGATCCTCGGGTTCTTGGAACAAGCCCCGCATCGGGCTCCCTGCTCAGCGGGGAGCCTGCTTCTCCCTCTGCCTGCCGCTCCCCCTGCTTGTGCCCTTTCTTGCTCTATCAAATAAATAAATAAAATCTTTATTTAAAAAAAGTTACTTGTTTTGGCAGCCATGTTATACTGATGGCTCATGAGAACTGTACAGTGACGTCATGAAGGGCTGTAGAGTTAGAACTTCATTGTCCTGCTGCTGCTGCTTTTTTTCCAAAGATAATGTGACTTTTATTTCTTAAGGGGTTTGTCACCATGACTTTGGAAAGCCCAGAAGAAATACAGGATATCAGCTGTGCATGGAAAGAACTTAACAGAAAGCTGAGTAGTAATGCTGTCTCCCAAATTACCAGAATGTGCCTCCTAAAAGGAAATATGGTAGGTTTTTCTAGACAAGGAAAAGCTTTTCAGTCAACTCTAAATGTCCAACAGATTTTGTTCTTTCTTTTTTTGAAGTCTAATGAGATGAATAATACAGTTTTCTTGTGTGATAGTTTGTTTCCCGTTGTAAATTTGGGGAGTTATGTAAATAACCCATTCCTCTAGAAAGCTGTAAGTCATCCTGCTTAGTTTGTATAATAACCAAGTTATCCAGGTTTCTGCTCTTGGATACATACTGTGTGTGGTTATGTGTGGTGTTTTATTCTATGACTAAATAACTTATGATTTCAATAGCTAAACAACTCTGTTATTTAGAGAATACTCAATATTGACTTTTAAGTGGCCTCTATTGGTTGTTAATGAGGATAAGTAAGTAAGTTAGTATTTTAATACATTTTTGAAATAACAAAGTTAAAACCATCTCTAATCTTAGTGACTCTGTTTCTTTAATGGTTTGAAAAAGATACTTATCTAACTTTACTACATAGGCTTATTCTAGTCTAGAATTTATTATCTTGATTGTTTATTAGAAAGAATCATTTCTCAAAGTTTACTGTTACCATCAAGAATGTTTTGTGGCAAGTATGAGACAAATATACTCATTCAGAAAAAATGTGGAGGGGAGGGAAAAATATAACAAGATCCTTAAGCCAAACTAGTTGCCTTACTTGAGAATTAAATTAACTTTCAATTTATTGGCAACCAGGTCCAAAAAAGAAACATCTTGGGTTATACCATTCTTATTATCTGATAAACACTGCAGCTCTTCAGGATAGAAACAAACTTTTCGGCACTAAATTTTTCAAGGAATTTATACATTAAACGTTACAGTGTCTACAAGAACTTTTCTGAAGAATACTCTAGATTCTTAGTAGTAGTAGTAGTAGTAGTAGATTCCTGTTAGATACTGTGTTTACTTTTCAAACTTAGAAAATACAATAAGCAGCCACTCTGTGTCATGCATTATTATATGTTAGCTGTTTTTAATCTTACAAACATTCATGGGGCACACCCTATCTTTTCCCCTTTTTTAGCTACTATAAAATTACCAGCAAGTATTAGTGTATTGGTAAAAAATCAACTCATCTGCATTTGAATAAAAATGTTTTCATTTTGCTTTTAGGGTGTTTGCTTTGATGTTCCCACAACTGAGTCAGAAAGGTTACAGGTATTTCTAAAATTTTATCTGTTAAATAATTGAGTGTGTTTCTCTAAAAATAGGAATTTTTAAAAAGTGACAATATCATTATTATGCCGAAATCAGTTAACATTCCTTAATGTAATATATCTAGTCTGTATCATAATTTAAAACATTTTTATTATGAATAATTTCAAATATAAAAAACAGAATTGCATAATGAATATTCATGTACCCATCACCCAGCTTCAACAATGATCAGCTCATAGCCAGTTTGTTTTATGGTTTCATGTCATTTCCATCCATTTTCCCACTCTCCTGTATGTATGCTTTTTTTTTTTTCAAACTCAGCTTTGTCTCTTTCTCTTCCATATTATACTAGGAGAAAGTGACAACAATATTTTATTTAATGCTTAAATAAACTTAAAAATTCCAGTATAGTTAACATCCAGTGTTACATTAGTTTCAGGTGTACAACACAGTGATTCAACACTTCCATATGACACCTGGTGTGCTTAAATAAATTTTTATAATTTTTTATTTTACACAAAGTAAGATTAAGACAAAAACAAATACCATATGACTTCACTCATACGTGGAATTTAAGAAACAAAACAAATGAACAAAGGAAAAAAGAGCCAAAAAAAATAGATTTTTAAATACAGAGACAAACTAGTAGTTGCCAGAGGGGAGGTGGGTGGCAGTTTGGGTGAAACAGATGAAGGGGTTTAAGAATTGTATGTATTCTTTTGAAACAGATTGTAGGTATTCTATCATTTCAACCCATAAATATTTCCGTATACCTAACTATTAGGGACACTTTTTTTTTTTTAAAGATTTATTTATTTATTAGAGAGAGCGCGAGCAGGGGGAGGGGCAGAGGAAGAGGGAGAGAGAGAATCTTCAAGCAGACTTCCCGTCGAGTGCGGAGCCCAGCTCGGGGCTCGATCTCACGACCCTGAGACCATGACCTGAGCTGAAATCAAGAGTCAGTAGCTTAACCAACTGAGCCACCCAGGTGCCCCCTCAACAGGGTATTTTAATATTCACTTTCCTTGACAACTCATGATCACAATAATAGTTAATGTAGTAGGATATAACATGGTGATGCTCTTGTGAGCTGCTGATTCGCATAATCTTGAGTTCTTTACTCCGATACCAAATTATTTCCAGTGGCTACATATTTTCAACAGGTTTTTAGTCTCCATCATTAGCTCTCACTTCTTGCTTCTGTCAATATAACCACTGAAAGCAGTGCACTGCTTATTAGTGGCCTGCTTGTTTTGTGCCAAGAAATCAGTGCTCTCTTATTTATTTTTTAATTTTTTTTTTTTTTAAAGATTTTATTTATTTATTTGAGACAGAGAGAGAATGAGAGACAGCATGAGAGGGAGGAGGGTCAGAGGGAGAAGCAGACTCCCTGCCGAGCAGGGAGCCCGATGCGGGACTCGATCCCGGGACTCCAGGATCATGACCTGAGCCGAAGGCAGTCGCTTAACCAACTGAGCCACCCAGGCGCCCCTATTTTTTAATTTTAATTTTTAAAAAATATTTATTTGAGAGGGAGTGTGTGAGAGTGGGGGGGAGGAGCAGAGGAAGAGGGAGAGAGAATTTCAAGCAGACTCCCCACTGAGTGCAGAGCCTGATGCAGGGCTCGATCTCATAACCCTGAGATGATGACCTGAGCCAAAATCTAGAGTCGGATGCTCAACTGACTGAGCCACCCAGGCGCCCCAGTGTGCTCTCTTTTAGAATGTATAAACTGAGTGTGAAATTATGAGTCTCAAAATGAGCCTGAGAGTTTCTCCTAACACTAAAATTTAGGAACTTTAATGAATGAGCTTTGAATATGTTTTTGTTTTTGTTTTCTTGTTTTCAGTTTTGTTTCAGATACTTTGAATTTAAATGGATAGATGGCCTTTAGCTAATAGATGATGGATATTAAAAAAGAATTTTCTGTACTCATATGCTTGCTTATGGTTTCCATTTTGCATTTATATTAATCCTCTAAATTCCCCCAACAGGCAGAGTGGCATGATTCAGACTGGATACTTTCATTGCCAGCCAAGTTACCCGAAATTGAAGAATATTATGATGGAAACACATCTTCTAACTCCAGGCAGAGGAGTGGCTGGTCAAGTGGCCGGTCCGGCCGGTCGGGCCGGTCAGGTGGTCGATCTGGTGGCCGGTCAGGTAGACAGAGTCGACAGGGAAGTCGGTCAGGAAGTCGACAAGATGGTAGAAGACGAAGTGGGAATAGAAATCGATCAAGAAGCGGGGTCCACAAACGGAGTTTTGACTGAGTATTTGATAGTTAATCTACCAGTGTGAGCTTGCCTATTTCTGCCTAATCATGTACATTATCCACCAAAAATTAGGTCATCATAGTTGAGGTATGTGTCTGCTCTTTGCAAAGAAGTTGGTCATATTTTTTTAAAAAGTATTTCGCAAGAATGGTTGTAAACAAATCTACTTATCCAGTTATACCTTTGAATAAAAAAACTCCTTTTATTGTCTCTTTTCACTGTGCGTTAAGAATTTTGTCAATGTAATCTTCTACAGGTTCTTCTAAAACAGAACAGTCAAATTAGTTTTACTTAAGATAACTTGCATTTTGCAAAATGTAGTGTATTTGTATTCAGGTCATTCCTTCCATAGGATACGTGGTAGAAAATAAGAAATCCCTTCTACATTGAAGGGCTGTAGAAACTGGTGACTTGATTGGTTAGGTGTAGCATTTAAATTCTATATATAGTTCATTAAAAGGGTGTGCAAGCACTGTACACTCAATAATTTATTCACCAGATAATGATTGAAGTCTACTGTGTGCCTATCACTATGTTAATCATTAGGGATATAGTGGTGCACAAGGCATAGCACTATCCTCAAGGAACTTACAGTCTAAAGACAGTCAAGCAATTATGAGTGAGATTAACATCTAAGGAGTAAAATAGGTAGGTATGGAATGCTAAGGACCTAGTTGGGGTGCACCAAACCAGTCTTGGAGTCAGAAAGGCTTACAAGTGGTGATACCCAAAAGAAGAAGTTAAACAACAGTATCTGTTGATCTAAGCAAGTATGTGTATGGTGGGAAGAAGAGTTTAGAAGGGAGAGGGTTTGCAGGCAGGGAGAACAGCATATGCAGATACCCAGAGCCAAAGAATACCATAGGAAGTCTGAGGACCTACAATTAGTTTAGTATGGTTTGCATATGACAGGCAGAGGATAGGAATAAGAGAGAACGATAGTATTTAACAGGGACCAGATCTTAAAGGCCTTCTGTGCCTTGTTAAGTTTAAACATTCTCTTGAAGACAGTGGTGAACCATTAATACATTTAAAGTAAGGAGTAACATGATGAGATCTGTGTTTTAGAAAAGATTATTGGCTGCAATGAAGAGACTGGATTGGAGAAGGGCCAGACTGGAGGTCAGGAGACCTCTTAAGTTGCTGTTGGAGTAATCCAAGGTAGAGGTGATGGTGGTCTGCACTAATGTTAGGTAACATATTTTGACTGATAATAACTGAGGCATTTGAGAGCTTACTACTTGTCCAGAATCACAGCTGAGTAATAGGTAGTGGAGTGAGGATTTAAACCCCGAGAAGTCTAGCTTCTGAACCTGTGCTAAATAGCAGTGGTGACATTGAGAAGCATGGTTAGATTCCAAAGTTTTTTTGTTTAGTTTTTTATTTTATTTTTTTTAGTAATCTCTACACCTAATGTGGGGCTCAAACTCAGTGACCCCAAGATCAAGAGTCACATGCTCCTCCAACCAAACCAGCCAGGCACCTCCAAAGTTGTGGGAAATAAAATTGTTAGGACTGGGGTGCCTGGGTGGCTCAGTCGTTAAGTGTCTGCCTTCGGCTCAGGTCATGGTCCCGGGGTCCTGGGATCGAGCCCCGCATCGGGCTCCCTGTTCGGTGGGAAGCCTGCTTCTCCCTCTCCCACTCCCCCTGCTTGTGTTCCCTCTCTCACTGCGTCTCTCTCTGTCAAACAAGTAAAATCTTTAAAAAAAAAAAAATTGTTAGGACTTAGTGCTTGATTGAGTTGGAAGATGAGAGAGATGAGAAGAATGAAACAGATTTTTGTCACTGAGATAAGCTAGTAGGAGGAAGAACAAGAAAAGTTACATGGGGAGGGAAGGGGGATATGATTAGTTCAATATTAGATATATTTTAATATTGAATAGCCCATGAGATAATAAAAGATGTAAGAAGAGATAAACAGTAGGCAGTTGGATTTATAGGTTTGAAGGAGGAGAGAGATCTGTTCTAGAGGTGTAAAGATTTGGACATAATTTTTAAAAATGTTAATTGTAGTTAAGGCAGTGGAAGAGATTATCTAGTGAATGTATAGTAAGAAAAGAGGACTAAGGAGGGAACCCAGAGGCAGACTAATGTATTTACTGCATAGCAGAGGAAGGGAATCCCATCATCATCAAGAAGAGGTGAGAAGGCGGCAGAAAGCCCAGGAGTGTGAGGCTTTCCAGGGAACCAGAAGATGAACCTGAGATGGCCACTGGATTTGGCAAAAAGAAGACATTTGACATGGGGAGCAACCATATTAATAAAGTATGGTAAGTAGAAACCATTTAGCAGTGGGTTCAGCAGAAAATGAGAGATAAAGAACTAGGGACAGCAAACATGTCTTCCAGAAATTTGGCTGTGAAGTAGAGAAGAATAAGCTAAAGCTGGATGTAAAAGAAAGGACAGGAAATGACAGAATTTTTTGTACATGTGTGTTGGGGGAGGATGAGGGAAATTAGAGCATGAACTACTAATATGGGAAGGAGTCAGAAAGGAGGGAGGAAGAGAAAAAATATATGATGGAGCAAGATCCCTATGAAGACCCAGAAGGATGAGCTTAAGCACACACTGGAGATTTTAATCATAGATGGTAGAAGCACATCTCTAACATTTTGCCAGGGAGAAAGTATTCACGTAGGTGAATTTGCAGGTGTTAAGGTAAAAAGATGACAGATTGCCTGCCTGATGTCTTCTATTTTTTTCTGTGGTATTCTTTCATGATCGTTTGCTGAAGGTGAAGAGGAAAGTAGTAGGCTAGGAGATTTGAGGAGGTTGGAGAAATGCTGAGGTATCAACTGTAGAACAAGATGGAGAGATTACTAGGCAAACTGGGGGTCATGGGCAGCTTTGAGGGTCCAGTTGAGATTAGAGACAATGTGTACTGGCAGCAATTAGAGTACTTGAGTGATGTCCTGTAGTACTCAATATTCTGTTGTAGGAATGGAGATGGGAGATGATTGATCCAGGATTGGGGTTTGCTCTATGAGATGAAAGGATGACAAGGTGAAGATGTTAAGGACTTTGGCAAAAGTGACTGGAGTAATGTCTATGGAGTCTAGACTGCCTAGGGATTGAAGTGGAGGTGGGGTTGATAGCAGGGAGAATGTAGAAGGGGCGAGGGACTGAAGGTCAGTGAGAGTTCTCTGAGATTTCAAGAGTGGAGCAGTTGGGGACAAGACAAGTGCAGGGTTTGTTAGTAGGCCTGTTGGGGTAGAGGTCATTTCATTTGAGATGGTCAAAGAGCAGAGAAGCTAGCGTGGGTGTTTTCATGGACAATGAAGTCTCCAGGACTGAGGAGGGAGAGGAAGACTAAGCCAGGTGCCAAACTGTCAATGAATGGTGGAGGTTAAATTACCTGAACAAGGAAGGGTATAGGGTGGTATTGTCAAAGGGACAAGGACATTTACATGATACTGAAGGAGTAATAGTTCAGAAATGGTTTTGAGGAAAAGAAGACACTGATACCAGGGTACATGGGATGTGAGGGAATGAGCAACATATGCGTGGGAAAGTTGCAGGAGGAGGAGTTTTCAAGAAGAGCCAGATTTCAGTGAAGCCCTTAATCAGTGCTAGATTAAGAAAGGGAGAAATTTTGATTTTGGGAAACGGGGTTCCAGATAACTATGACTGGGGGAGAAAGTCTCAGCTTTGCATTTGAGTAGTTGTGAGCTCTGGATTTATACCGAAGATGAAAGAGGGGCTCCATTCCTACAAATGTGCATGAGTACTAGTAATTTAGTCAGAATAAGTTGTATACCTACAATGTCCCAGGCACTATGTTTGGGGTACAAAGGTGAGTAAGGTGTGCCTAGTCTCTGCCCTCAGGAGCTCAGAATCTAGTGAAATAGATGGACACATAAACTTAGGCCCACGGCAGTGACTAAGTGCAATAATTTGAGAGCTCTGCACAAGGGCACCTAGCCCAGCCCAGGAATGGGGGTGGGAGTTTAGAGAAAGCTTTTTGGATGTGATGATTTGAACATGAATTAAGTCAGTTAAAAGAAGCAGGGAAGTGGGAATGGAAGGCCCAAAAGGGCACAGAATAGCTAATAAAACAAGATCTAAGTATGGTGAACTGTAAGTAGCTCTCATTGCTGGGATGCTGGCTATGAGGAAAGCAGTGATGAGAATAAGGCAAGAGTCCTATCTTGGAAGGCTTTGTAGGCCTTGTTTTGGACAGCCATTGAAGGGTTTCAGGGAAATGAGTGAAAAAGAAAAGCATGTAGGTAAATGCTAGCAGAGTGGAGGTAGATTTTAGGGGTCCACTTGCTAAAGGCTGGCTTTCCTATTAGCAAGGGAAGTGGGGCAGGTCCTGACAAGATTAAATAATAGCTTTCCATACCTTCTGAAGAAGGTGGGGGCAGAATTCTCAGCTTTGGGCTGCATTCAGCCCCTTATTTTGCTCCTTTCTTATAGAACCCAGCACCTTCATGCTTCCTTTTGGCTATTCAGATCCTTCTGTTGGGTACTCTGTGCCTAGTGTGGTCACTTAACAGCTATTTGAATTTAATTAAGCCAATTACCCTGATCTTCAATTTTTGAATTTGTAAGTATCTGTTTTATTCCCTTCAGCATTAGAAATTTGAATGAGTTCACATTTAGGTGTGAATGTCTGAGAGCTTCCTCTCACATTGTTTTTGTTTCATATGTTTTGTCGGTAGTGCTTAATAAGTTTTTTTAACCGTATTTTTTCATATTAGTAATGTGCTTCCATTGTTGAAATTTTGAAAAAATAGAGAAGCAAATGGAAGAAAATAAAAACCATCCATAATCACATCACTTAGATAATTACAGCTAACATATCGTTGTGTAGATTTTTTTAATCACTGTGTGTGTGCGTGTATGTATGCATACTTTTTGAAATAGAAATTCTCCCCCCAATTTTATGAAAATATGACATTATCTACATCAGAGGAAACTGGGCTGGCAGAATCAATATCCAAACAGAACTTCACATTTCCAATCAAACGTATATATGAGACCCATTTTTTTTCCACTTGTTACTGAATTTTATACTGATAGCTAGATTTAATATGGTAATTTGGCTGCCTTTGAGCCAGAGAGGACCTTTGCATGCTTCCTCTTAGATTTTGGCCTTATGCCTATGTGCAGGTATATTACAAAGGAACTTACATAGTTTGTAAGCCTTGACAACAGTTTTCCATTAAGTAGTGTTCTGGGCTTACTCTCTTATTGATAATAAAAATGCCCCTGTACC